CCATTATTTGCAAAAAAATTCTTTAAAAGTCAGACAAAATGATTTTCTCAAAAAAATTTTTTTCACATTTTGTCTTTCATAGTTGAGGTCTACCTATGATGTCAATTACAGGCCTCTCTCATCTTTTTAAGTGGGAGAACTTGCACAATTGGTGACTGACTAAATACTTATTTTCCCCACTGTACTGTGTCCATCAGTTATCTGAAATAGCAAACTGAAATACTGTAGCTGATTCAGAAGCCTAAAGATTTTAAAATGAAAATAATTATCAGGGGTTACCAACTTTTCATATGACTGTATCATCTTGGTAGATGTTAACAAACTGACAGATGTGAACAAAAACATTTTAGTAGCAGATGATTCAAATGTATATTTTTTTTCCACATGACTACAGCGAGTTAGTCATCTTGGTAATGGAAGAGTACTGGGAAGTAAAGTTGTGGTTTCTGTCTTCCAGATGTGCTTCAGCAGGAGATGATGGTCTTGTTTTGGTGTGGAATATTGAGGTAATGAGAACTGATCTTTTCTGTGCTTTCTAAACGTTGCTCCCAGCACGTTATGATTCATGTCTTTTTCTCCACTGGTAGACTGGAGAGAGGCTGCAGGAGCTTCGAGGTCACTCCCAGCAAATCACCGCCATAACTACTTTCACCTGCAATGATGAGGTCACGCCACACACCTGCCTCATCACCGCCTCTTCAGACCGAAGTCTCAGTGTATCCTCAATGAAAGATGCTCCATTTGTGTCTCCTCTCTTACACACACATACACACACTCATCTCTACATGTGTGATTTTTGCCTTGCCTAACCCTGATCCCTTACCCTAACTTTAACTTAATTCATACCTTAGCCCTAAACATAACCCCTGACCCACAAATGGGTTTTCCATTGTGTGAACTATGCAAATGTCCACACAACGACAAAATGTCCTTTTAAGTGTAGTATAATGTCAACATATGTCCACCACACACACACACGTTTGTTTCTTGACCCCGTGGGGACCTTCCATTGACTTCCATTCATGTTTTTTAGACTTTATAKCCTAACCCTGACCATATCCTCTAAAATTAACCTCACAGAAACTTACCTGACCCTAAAACTAACCTAAACCTTGGTCCTAAACCTAACCCCACACCTGGAACATGCGTTTGGACCCGTGGGGACCTGACCGTGGTCCCCACGATTCACTTCGGTCCCCACCTGGCTGCTTTTTTTTTTGTAAAAAATACCCCACGTTGTAGGAAAAACCCGTATACACACACATACACATGTTCTTATATCCTCAGTTTATCCCTGACCACTTACTCTAAACCTAACCTCACAGGTACCTGACCCTAAATCAAGCCTAAACTCAATTCACACCTTGGTCCTAAACCCCGGACCCACCAACAGTATTTCTGCCAATGGGGAACAGGCTTTTGTCCCAGTTAGGAACAGTGGTCACAAGGCTGTGTGTGCCAGAAAAAACTGTCAAAAATCATCCCCATCAGGTAACAAAAGCATTTTCACACACACACAGGTCTGGTTTGTATAGCCCTGTGGGGACTGTGCATTGACTTCCATTAATTTTTTGGAAATTTTAAATCCTAACCCTGACCACGAACCCTAAAATTAACCTCACAGGTCTACCTGACCCTAAATCTAACCTAAACTCAATTCACACCTTGGTCCGAAACCCAACCCCCACCTGGACTTTGCATTTGGACCCGTGGGGACCGGGCATTGGTCCCCACGACTCCCCACGAGACTGCTTTTTCATGTAAACTGTCCTCACCATTAGGGTTGGGCATAATCGTATCGTGTGCAATTAATTGTCAGAAAAACATTAATCGATTATTTTTTGGCACTTGATGATTAATATGATTAATGCCACCAGGCAGACTGACTGGGGATTACTCTGTTTAGTCTGCTCAGTGCTCTTCTGCCCTTCAAATATAACAAACATTAAAAATAAAGTTATGTAATTTATTTATCTATAAACACAATTTAAAGTTTGATGTATAACCTGAAGTCTGTAATTTTGACACAGTTTGGAACAGATTTTTACAAAGAGTAAATCTTTCCCACTAACTTGGTCATGTGACCAGGACATAAGGGTGTCCAGGGACTCCAGGGGATTAATCATCAAATTAATCGTTATCGGCTAAATACCACAATTAATCATGATAAATTTTTTTGCCAATGTTGCCCAACCCTACTCACCATGTAGGAAAAACAAGGCCACGCATGCATGCACACTCCAAAAATTTGCAATACCATTAATTTTAAAAATTCCAGCTGTGATTGTCCTTAATCTCACCTGTCAGTTGTGGGATCCTGATTCAGGCAACAGAGTTCAGACCATTTCAGATCTTCAGTCTTCTGTCAAGGTAACTAAAAACTGTTGATCTCATAAAATATAACACAATTAAAATCATTTTAAAGTTTTATAGAATATTGTTTGCATGAACCTCTGTAAAAAGTTTTCTTTTCAAGAGAAGCACTTTTGTCTCGGCGCTGCTTAGACGAGCTAATTAATCAACCCTGTCAGGATAAGATGAGTTTTTTCAAAAACTGTTTACAGAAAGTAAAAGTATTATAAATATCCTTTTCTAAAGACCTTTACCTAAAGATGTCTGAACTGCCCTTTTAAATGAGTTTTTCGTTTTTTATAATATTTTGTGTTGTCAGACATTAGCTTATATGTAGTCCTTTTCTCAGCACAAAAAGTATCTGGGGTCGGATTTATAAAGCTTGCGTACGCGCAAAACAAGCCCAGAAACTTGCGTACGCCACTTCATTCATTTCATTTGTTTATTTATTTGTATAGCACTTTACACAACCACGGTGCTGGTGACCAAAGTGAGAGTCAGTGATTAACATGACAACGAGTAAAAACAAGAAAACACAACAAAATAACAAAACTAAAACCAGAAATGTCACCACATATTAAGTACTAAAAGCTTGTTGGAATAAAAAGGTCTTAAGCTTTGATCACGCAAAGATTTATAAAATCCAAACTTGACGTGAAAATGTGCGGTGCCTCACAGCTCTGACCCATGTGTACACTCATTTTGGAGACGTGAAACTGTGACACAGATGGTGAAGTGAGGAATTAGAGCCACACTGTGTAATGATCACTGTCAGATATTTAATTTACCTTCATCAGACTTAGATTTTTATTCAACTTTATCATCAGATTTATTGACAGTAATATTTATGCTTCTGCTGCTGCTGAGCCATGAGGAGCTTTGAAATAAAAACTTAAATCTTGAAGTTCACCTATCTCCTTCCCCCTCACGACCCTGACCCACAGACCCCTCCCTGACCCACAGACCCCTCCCTGACCCACAGACCCCTCCCTGACGAGACATTTCAACAGAACGACAGCAAAAGTCACACCTGGGTACTCGCAGGGCGCCCCTCTCCAGTGTGGAGGTTATAAAAAGTGGTCATCTGTGGCGGTCAGCTGCAGATAACAGAGCAGGCAGGAGGGGGAGAAGAGTGGTGAACTTATTTCAAATTTTATCTGACTTATTTAATTTTATTTATTGTTTTTATCGTCCTGCAGGCTCTGAGAGAAAATAAATTTGAAGCTGAGTTTTTGATAAAAATCATTAGATTACTCTAAACATCTTTAAACCTGCAAAATGAGGGAAAATCTGTGTCAGTTACAGACAATCTGTTCACATGAGCAGCTGTCAGTCAGCACCTGTCTGAACCAATCACTGATCATCTGACTGATTTAAATACATCTTAACATTCATGAGGTACTTTACATTGACTGTTTATGGTTGAGTGTGGGCGTGTAGAGCGTAGAACCTGAGGCGGGACCTCATGCACAAACTCTGACGTGCAGCTGTGATTTATAAAGGAAAGATGAGCAGAAACATACGTACGTACGGTTTTATAAATCTGAATTTTTTGGCATACGCCATTTTCGCCTTTTGGCCGTATGTTCATTTTTAGTATGGTTTCCATGCACTCCTTTATAAATCTGACCCCTGGGCATTTTGTATGAGTACTTGTAAAAATGCTGGCATTTTCTATAAGTTTCAGTGAAATTTGTCCAGTGGTTTATTAGGTATTTTACTAACACAACAGACAATCAAACATGTAGAAACATTATCACCCTTTTGTTTTTCCAGCGTGATAATTAGCTTTGCTTGTGTCTTCATAGTAAACTTCCTTGTATATTTTACAGACTTTGTATGTTTAACATTGTATAAATATGAAACCTAGTGTTTAGCGTGTGAGGATTAGAGTTAGAAAGGAGAATAGTTTTTCTTCTGTGTTACAGATGAAGATTATTTACATAATCTACAAATTATTTATTTGATTGCTTGGAAAAAAATATAGTTTTTGTTTGTTTCTGAGAAACCTTACAGAATCAGAAACTACTTGTGTTTCATGTACTGACCCAGTGTGTGTGTGTGTGTGTGTGTGTGTGTGTGTGTGTGTCTCAGTGTTTGCTGGTGCTCGAGCGTCTGTCTGTGTGGGTCTCCGGTGGGGACGAGCTGTGTTTGTGGAACAAAGACTTCCAGCTGCAGTGTCAGAGACAGAAACAGAGCGACACCGGTGAGTGAAACAACAACAGGCTGTTCCAGATGCTGAACCAGCTGTGGTCCCCGTCATGCAGATGTTTTACCACTGATGACTGTTTCTGTGTTACTGCATGTTGCAGGAGTCACAGCTTTAATAGAGCTGCCTAAGAACTGCCTGGCTGCAGCTGTGGATAAGGAGATCGGTAAGAGGAAGCTTCAGATTGTGTTTGAGGGCCAGTGAACAAACATTAATCTGAATAATGTTTGCAGTGATCTACAGACTGACCGTCTCTGCTGACTCCTCTGCACTGCTGGATGAGATCCACCGTCTGTCTGAGCACCAGGACCAAATCAGAGCTCTCATTAACGTCAACGGTTTGTCTGTTTTTCAGTGGAGGCGTTGTTGTGTGAATGCTGATTCATTTTCCTGCTTTGTATGCTATGGTCTGCATGCTTTCTGCTTATTCAGCTCATTCAGGAGATGGCTGCTCTGACTTTTAGCTTTAGTAACTTTTAAACTTTTCAAAATATTAATTTATTTATTAAAACACAGATCTCTTCAACAGCCTATATGCCACAGACATCCGGTCCAGCACTTGGAGCCACTTTAAATTGATGGGCTACTTGTATGGTTTGGATCGTTTTCCCCGACGTTAGTGAACTGAAAACGTAATGATTATCAGGAGGAGGTTCTGCTGATCTCGGTGCTCGGGGGGCCGGTTCGTCACTCGGCTTTAGTCTACACTGTAATATACACTCTAACAAGTTTTACTTTTGCATAAAACTCATGACAAAGTGGCATAAAAACATTCCATACTCTGTATAACACACACACACACACACACCTTTGTAGCGGCTGCTGTGTTAGCTTCCTGCTAGCTGTCGTGTGAAGGAGGTCTTTCCTCTCCTGGTCTTGTCAATAAAAAGGGGATAAATGTACATTTCCCTTTTGTAACCTCCGTCTTCTCATTTCTGATGCTGACTCTTGAATATCCTCAGGTTAGAAATGCTGATTACAAACACAAGCGTGAGCTTTTAAAGATAAGTTTTCCCTGTAATGCTATGATCCACAGCTGTCACCTCCTCATCTAAAGGAAAATGGAGAAAAACTACTCGTTCGCACCTGCTGCTTAGTGGACACAACGGCACACAACAGAACTCACGTTTTATACCAGTGGATCACAGATGCTGTAGCATTTGTGAATTTTTCACGGACTAGTACTAGCAGCTAACGCTAAAAACATTGGCAGTAAGCAGGGAGTGGAAGGGAGGAGCGTGGCAAGAATTTTACCGGAAATACGTCATTAATGACCGTGACATATAGGCTATTGCATTCAAAATCCCTTAAACCTTTTTTTATTAAGGAGTATACAGTCCCCATCCTGAGAGCTTCTGTAAACACACACTGTGACAGAAAAACACACTGAAAAAAAAGAAGTTAAGCATCCAGATGGAGTAATCTGATTTAGGTGTAATGAGGTCAACATGCTGACCAGTAATGGGGTTGAAAATGACTTGATTTACAAGGAGCTGCATGACTCAATGAAATGGGTACCAGAGTGTATAAATGATGAAATCATGAATGGAGCAATTGTGTTC